TTTAATGGAGAACGCAGGAAAGGGAAATGTGAGGAAGTCCAGATGGCTATGGAAAAAGTATATGAAAAATTGGGATTTTTTCTTTTTCTTTTTTTTCTTTCTATAGAGCTGTAAGTCATGATTTCTGTGTTTGATATATGCTTGGTTATTTTTCTCTTTTTCTCAAAATGCAATAAAATATTTTTTTTAAAAAAAAAGCAAAAGGAAAGAAGGGGAGAATCCTACAGTTGCCACTTAAATATCACCTAAGTGATGTATCTACGTGCCTTATGTATTTAAATCAACATCTCAGGCCCCACTATGTCTCCTCCAATTATCTGAGACGCACTTGGAAAACAAAGGACAGGGCTTTTTGGGGAATGGCATCCAAACACCAAGGGGGATTGCATTCCCTACAATTGTCTCTATTTTCCAAGGATAGTCCCGGAATTACAAAAGCCGTCCCCGCTTCTGATTTGATCCCAGAATGTCCCTATTTCCCCTGCCAGTACCGCCACTGCCAATCTCATGGGGGGGGGGAGATGGAGTGGGTGCTTGTCCTGTGTGATGTTGGTGGCTGCGAGAGAGCATTCTGTTGCCTCTCCATGGTCACCACTGCTGGTCTGCTCCCTTGGCCAGCTTGCAGAGGCTGCTGAAGAGCAGATGAGGAGGAAGAGGAGAGGTGCTGGCAGAGGGCAGGGTTGCCCTAGCAAGGAGTCTTGATATGAAAACAAGAAGAAGAAGAAGAAGAAGAAGAAGAAGAAGAAGAAGAAGAAGAAGAAGAGTAGTAGTAGTAGTAGTAGTAGTTTGGATTTGATATCCCGCCTTTCACTCCCTTTAAGGAGTCTCAAAGCGGCTAACATTCTCCTTTCCCTTCCTCCCCCACAACAAACACTCTGTGAGGTGAGTGGGGCTGAGAGACTTCAGAGAAGTGTGACTAGCCCAGGGTCACCCAGCAGCTGCATGTGGAGGAGCGGAGACGCGAACCCGGTTCCCCAGATTACGAGACTACCGCTCTTAATCACTACACCACACTGGCTCTCTGAACAAACAAAACAAACAAACAAACAAACAAACAAAACCATATTGTTTTGTGTGTCCAGGTCTAACCTTGCCCCTTTCTAAATTTCATTTACCTCAGGTTACAGACGCTTCGGGTTACAGATGCTTCAGGTTACAGAGTCTGCTAACCCAGAAATAGTACCTCGGGTTAAGAACTTTGCTTCAGGATGAGAACAGAAATGGCGCGGCGGCAGCGGGAGGCCCCATTAGCTAAAGTGGTACCTCAGGTTGAGAACAGTTTCAGGTTAAGAATGGACCTCCAGAACAAATTAAGTTCTTAAGCTGAGGTACCACTGTATTGGCATGTGTTTTCCTTTTTGTAAATCTACCAAAGAATAAAATAACATTGGGATCAAGTGGTTTTCTCAGCGTTTCCTGTGTCCTGTTGGTGTAGCCATAGTGGAAATGCTCTGTGGAGTGTGTGGGGGGGGGATGGGGGGAGGGTTGAGGAGGGTCACTTGCAGGGCAAGTGAGAAATGTCCTTATTTTCCTTTGAGGAATGTTGGAGGGTACAAGATCTACCCAGATTTTTCACTGGTTGCATTTCCGTGCTCAACGAAAGACCAGGCTGTTTCAGCAGGCATCTGAGTTACGTCAAATACCGTATTATTTGCTCTAGAAGACTCACTTTTTCCCTCCTAAAAAGTAAGGGGAAATGTGTGTGCGTCTTATGGAGCGAATGCAGGCTGCGCAGCTATCCCAGAAGCCAGAACAGCAAGAGGGATCACTGCTTTCACTGCGCAGCGCTCCCTCTTGCTGTTCTGGCTTCTGAGATTCAGAATATTTTTTTCTTGTTTTCCTCCTCCAAAAACTAGGTGCGTCTTATGGTCTGGTGTGTCTTATAGAGCGAAAAATACGGTAACTCAACGTACCGGTCTGCTTTTTGGTATCTTTATTAACTTGGTGTACGTAAATTCTCCCAGTTTGGTATTTTTAGGAGTGATTATGACATTGTCAACCTCCATAAAGGCTTTTTTTTGGGGGGGGTACAAAAAAGAAGGGCAGAAATATTTTGACAAATAATAATAATGCAAATTCAGACTTGGCTTTATGCAAAAGCCTGGTGATAACCAGATCCAAATAGCTATTAAAAGATACTTCGTTTAGCAAAGTCTATGAAAATTACCAGTATCCAGTCACTAAGCTGCCACAACATTGATTTCTTTAAAATAATAAAAAATGTCAATTCTTTACTGAAGGCTACTGAAAATTTAACAAGATCTAGGAATTTAAAACGTTTCCCCCATTTTGAGTGAATCACCTCTCTCTCCTTCCCCCACGACACATAAGAAATTCACCATACATTATCATAATTGACATGATTTCCTGTTATATACAAGTCAAGCTATCCTAAAATGCTTGTCACAATACTTTAATGGAATCACCGCCCATGTAAAAGTAGCAAACAGTGCACATTATATACCTGGAGAATATTATGTACTGGTACCTTCATGCTGAGCAGTAGGGCTGGATTCAACTAACTGGGTGCGCTAACGGAGACCCATAGAGAAACGCTTGCGCTGGCGGTACTATTGTAATAGTGTGATATTGAATCCGTCCTATAAATAATAAAATCTGTTGTGAAGAAATAAACAAAAACCCTGTGAAAAGTTTACAAAGAACTTTAAATCACATCTATTTTCATATCTAATCATCCGTAATCCCATAGACTTCTGTGAGACTTGATCACAGGTAAGTGGCTATAGGATTACAGCCTTGATGGGTGGTGAAAAGAAAATGAAACTATGAGCTGCACAGCACCCCTTGTGGCCACCACTGACATAACAAGTCAATTTTTCTCTGGCATAGTCTCGACAATCTCCTATGGTAGTAAACAAACAGGAAACTACCGTAAAGACTGATTCATACAGTTTGATCATGTAGTCCAACTTCCTGCAATGTGCAGCTAGTCCCATATGGGTATTGAACCTACAACCTTGGCATTATCAGCACCACACTCTAAGTGACTGAGCTATCCAGGCTGATCACTGAGGAATTTCTGTTCGGATCACCAACATTTTGAAAACACTTGCCTCCACAAAATTATTACTGCATATTACATCACACACTCCTATATTTATAAGGGGGGGGGGACACTCCAAAAGCTTAGCATGCCTTACACAAAATGAAGGTAGGATTAACTTCCTGGACCCTCCTAAAACACCCCTTTAAAATGTTTATTGTAATATAGTGCCAGGTGCATAAAGGCTGGTAGGATTTATGGTTATCTTACTAAATTTGTATTCAGGCCTCCGAAAAATGAGTACAGTGCCTGTATTCAATCAGCTCCGCACCTCTGTACAGCAACTCAGATTACTTATTGACTTTAAGACATGACATTATTACTGCTACTGCTACATACACTGATTAAAGAAGAAAGATAGCAAAGAGAACATTTCTTCACATAAAGGACACAGTCAGTCAAAGCTGAGCATCATTTACTTTAACTGCTTTCAGCAGGAGCATTATGCACATGCGTAACTCTCGCCCACTGAAATCATTGGCACTTACGCTTAACTTGACTGGATTGCACCTATAGTTTGCCTTCAGCCTATAAAAGCTTAGTCCTTGTCATTGTACTCAGTCTTTAAAAAAAAATGGAGGGGAAGGAGGCTGGGACAGTTTTGTTTTAAATTACCTGACAGCTGTAGGCATTAATGATATACATGTATATATGTATGTATACCGTCTATGTATATTCAGAAAACGGGGGGGGGGTGCATGTGTGCTCTTTGCTACACTGTCTGCTGCAGATCCTAATTCAAAGCCTTCAAGCGAAATTATTATTATCTGCAAAATACTTTAATGAAAATAATAATGCATTTTATTTTTCAAATGTCTGCCTTGCAGTGATGAACAGCTGTTTATTTTGCCTTGTTATCTGTAGGAGCTCATTTGCCCCTTTGACAGGCCACAACAAGCACTCACACACAAATGAAGATGCAATGGGACCATATTTCCAAAGCGTTAATTAGCCAAAGATCGTATTATTTCCTCCTCCCCCTCCCTCGACTGTTTTCACCCAGAGTCTCCGAACTGTTTCCATGTGCAAAAACTGCAGCTCTCAAGGAATGCTCATGATCACTAAGCCGCCAAACCCGCCCCCCCATCTTGTTGATATCTTCTTTTATTGAGTGAAAAATGGGGGCAAGCTTTTAACCGTGCCTCCATTCCACTGCCCCCAGTGCCCTCTGCTACACGAAGTCAAGAGAGAAAGTTTACCCTCCAAATTGTTTAAAGCGTTAAGGAAAAGCAGCTCTGCTCCTCTCAGCTATCTGCTTTCCCTGCACTCCCCCCCCCTCCTTTCTTTCCAAGGGCTGAAACAGCAGGTAATGTTTCAAGCGCAGCACATGGGCAACGGGGAAGAAGGCTCGCTTTGGAGGAGAAGCGATTGCGTTTCAATCCGCCTCTCAAGTCGACATGCAGAGCCCTCCTCGCGACTGGAAACCAGCTCACGCTACAGAGGAGCGCGCACAGATCTGTGTCGGACCTGAATGTGATCCCCTCCAAATGCGTGCATTTGCCCACGCTGTAGGGGAGCAGCAGCAGCAGAACCATCAGCGAAATTGCCATTCCCTAGGAGAATACATACATTATATATACATACACACCTGCACACACCACCCCGTGTCTTCTTTTCTCTCTCTCCTTTAAAACAGAGCTTTCACTGCACATAATCTGGGCTAAGCAGACGCGCGCAGCAAGAGAGGAGCATCGCATGATCTGGGAAAAGCTCAGCCGGCAGAAAGAAGAGGAAAAATAAAAAATAAAAAACTTGAAGGCAACCATCAGAGACAGCGATGCGAAATAGAAGTCTAATACACCTCTTCCTAAAAGCTAGGCTATCTCTGGCTTAGGAGGACGGAATTAGCAGCAGCCTCCCTTTCGTCCTGCCCGTAAGAATACGGCACAGATTTGATTTGATTTCTTTAAAGGGGTCAGTTCGTTTCAAGCCTTACCTTAGCTGACTTGCCCTAACTGGTGACAGGGAACTTTAATGGGAAGAATAGACGCATTGAAATAAAATAAAAGAGGGGGGGTATATCCTCAGGGCACAGCTGCTCCCAGTCCAGAGAGAAAGAGAAAGAGAGAGAGAGAGAAGGGAAAAAAGAGGCGCACAGGATTCCAGCTATGTGTTATCTCCAAAGCTCCAGCTCATATGCCAGCTCTGCTTTCCGCAGCTCGGGAAAGCGCCGCTGATTGGCTGCCGCCGCCCGTCTACTTGATCCTCCGCTTTCCTCCTCCTCCCCCTCCCCGTCCCCATCCCTGCTTCTTAGGACCGGGCGTCTTCTACAGGAGGATGCACGCAACGTAGGGATCGCTCCCCACCCGGCCACCCCTTCCTGAGCTTCTCGCAAGCGAAGAAGTCCTTCGCCAATGAGACAGCATGAATAAACAGTTTCCACAGCAAAGGAGGTTTTGCTCAGCAAAAGGGAGGGGAAGAGAGAACGGAAGCCAGGCTTAAGGAGAACTAGAATATAAGGGGGGGGGTAGAGGGGTTCCCCCCAAAAAATGTGGGCACTAAAGGCCTAAAAACTGGCAACAAATGTTCATTATTTGGCACTGGCTCGCTCCGTAGTCAGGAGTGGACTTTGGTAATATGTTGCCCCGAGCAAGGACAAAATCAATCTCCCCTAAATATTTCTTAATAATTCATTTTGGTAGTACAGTGGTACCTCGGGTTACAGACACTTCAGGTTACAGACTCCACTAACCCAGAAATAGTACCTCGGGTTAAGGACTTTGCTTCAGGATGAGAACAGAAATCGCACGGTGGCAGGGGGAGGCCCCATTAGCTAAAGTGGTGCTTCAGGTTAAGAACAGTTTCAGGTTAAGAACAGACCTCCAGAACAAATTAAGTTCTTAACCCGAGGTACCACTGTACAGTTGCTAATTATGGATCATCTCAGTAGGTACCCGCATAAATATAGGGTTTTGTTATTTATTTATTTATTTATTTATTTATAATATTTGTAATATTTTGCTTTCCCTTGCCTTGGCACCCTGTGCGGGGGGAACCACCCACCCCCATACCCCCCAACATTTCTCTGATGAAAATAGAGACATCAACTCCATCATTTCTCCGATGAAAATAGAGACGTCATAGAGAAAAGTGGGACATTTGGGGATCAAATCAGAAACTGGGACAGCTTATGTAAATTTGGGACTGCCCCTAGAAAATAGGAACACTTGGGTGGTCTGGACAGTCCTAAATCCTGCACTGCCAAAGTGATCCACAAAAGATCAAAGGGGGTTTTTTTTGGTGGGAGAGAGGACAAGAGAGGAAAAGTATTAGATTCTTCATGTTCTGGGCAGCTCCACCAAGCTCAGAAGACTTCAGGAGAAAGACTAGGCCTTGCCTCCATCACCAGGGTTGGTCCTCCATGTTTACCCCTCCCCCCCAAAAAAAAATATGCCTCCTTTTCTATTCTACATACTTTTGAAGTGGCTTATATAATGAAAACATAGCAATTATATCAAGAATTACTGAAACTAGCAGCAATAACTAAAGCAGTGTACAACAGAAGAAAATGTTTTTGCAGGGAAAATGGAGCAGTAAAATCCCTGAAGAACGACAAAAACTACTACTTATCATTATAATCATCTTTCATTTTTACCAGCTGCAACAAGGACATGGAGCTCAGTGCCAGGGAAGTCCTCCTTGAAGAGAGCATTCCATAATGGGGTACCACAAATGAGGGGGGGGCTCTCACCTGTCTCTCCCTGCTTAGGGTTGATCCCAAATGCCCCCTCACATTTTTGTCACCCTCTATGCAGTGCAGGGGGAGAAATGGGTGGGGCTGTGGGTTAAGCCACAGAGCCTAGGACTTGCCAATCAGAAGGTCGGCGGTTCGAATCCCCGTGACGGGGTGAGCTCCTGTTGCTTGGTCCCTGCTCCTGCCAACCTAGCAGTTCAAAAGCACGTCAAACTGCAAGTAGATAAATAGGTACCACTCTGGCGGGAAGGTAAATGGCATTTCCGTACGCTGCTCTGGTTTGCCAGAAGCGGCTTAGTCATGCTGGCCACATGACCCAGAAGCTGTACGCTGGCTCCCTCAGCCAATAAAGCGAGATGAGTGCTGCAACCCCAGAGTCGGTCACGACCGGACCTAATGGTCAGGGGTCCCTTTACCTTTACCTATGCAGTGCAGGGGATGTTCCAGCAATTTTGATTGGGAGGAGGGGCACAAGGAAGCAAAAGCTTTCTTTTACAGAAGGGCATCCTGCATCATCATGACATAGTGTTGCACAGAAAAGGGCTTCCCCCTCTTCTTTTTTGAGAGGGGAGGGGGTGGCAGCCAACAAGGGAAGGTGTGCTACTGCCACTGCTCACCGCTAAACACAGATGGTAGTGAAAGCAGTCCCTGAACCCACCCAGCCCAAATTTGACCCCAACACTATACCTGCCTTGGCTCCAAAGGTAAGAGGGGAAAGGCTGCCAATACAGTGGTATTACATATACCTTAGGTTACATACACTTCAGGTTACAGACAACGCTAACCCAGAAATATTACCTCAGGTTAAGAACTTTGCTTTAGGATGAGAACAGAAATCGTGCAGTGGCAGCACAGCTGCGGCAGGAGGCCCCATTAGCTAAAGTGGTGCTTCAGGTTAAGAACAGACCTCCGGAATGAATTAAGTTCTTAACCCAAGGTACCACTGTATTTGGGCAGTTCATCCGAGGCAAGCACATCTTAAAGCCCAGGCATGACAATACAGATACCTAGATAACCCAGTCCAAGTTTGTGCAGGGCTTTTTAAGATAACCCCCCCATGATAATAATAATAATAATAATAATAATAATAATAATAATAATAATAATGATGTGACTCAGTAGCATATAGACAACCAATGCAAGTTCTTCAGAACCAGTGTTGCATAGTTCCAGCCAGCTGAACCAACCACTACCCTGGCAGTCAAATTTTGCAGAAACCGAAGCTTCTGAATTGCCATTAATGGTAACCCTGTGCAGACCACATTGTGGTAATAAAGGCAGGAAGTTACCAGAACATGAATTATTGTGATCAAGCTATATCTGACCAGGAAAGAGCATAGCTAGGGAACAGATGAAGCTGAAAATAGACACCCCTTTCTACTTGGGCCAGCAATGAAATATTGCATCAAGGAGTACCCTTGAAGTACCCACCTGGTCCTCACCCACCTGGTTAGTTCCTGGACTCAAGAAGCACCAGCCTGCAGCACCTCTGTATTGTCAGAAATCATCTTCGGTTTACTGCTCTTCATCCAGCCTACCACTGCCTCTAGACAACAGTCCAGCACCAGGACAACCTCCCTGAGCCACATGACTGGGAGAAACAGAGCTAGGTGTCATCTCTATTACTGGTGACACACAGCCCCTTCTCCAACTGCACCACAAAGACCATGACCTCAGTTTGGGTGAGGTGACTGATGGGCAGTGGTCAGTACACCAGCAAAATCCCCATGCTGTCCCTCTGATCCATCACCTTGGAACAACCCTCTGTGGTGACTGGTGAGGTGGAATTCCTATGGAAAACACATCTCCTGGCTCTTCAACCTCTGTTGGCACTGGAGGGATAAAACTGAATCAGATCTATTCCAATCAGCTCACCCACCTAGTCTTTAGTATTGCACACCAGGTGAACCTGCTTATCCACAACTCATGAATGAGTGATGACTTATCATTTATCAATTTGGGATTCAACAATGGCACCACCAGACTGGAAGGCTAGTTGGCAGAGCAACCCAGCTGTCTATCTCCCAGTGACACTATCAGAACCCCAAAACTGAGCTCCTAATTCTTTAGAGGGAGTGCAGCCCCATCTACAACAGATTAAACTCCTTCCTAAAGTGAATCCCGCCTGCTTCTACAGCAGTTTGGCATCCAAGTGTAACCAGTCCATTGCAAGGGAGTGTTGTCAGACCATCTGCCTCAGCAAAGGAGAGCAAAAAATTGCTGAAAAGGCAAGTGTGGTTCTTGGAGTGTAAAAACGTACATTTCTGTTCTGCATTTGTTGACTGTTAGTAGGGCAGGGATATAGTTGGCTCATTGAGTTTAGCACTAACTAACTAGACCAGCCAGTGGAAAATGATTGGCACTGGTTCTTTCAGACAAGAAAATAAGACACATGGACACAAGTATTTTAGGTTAATGGGCTAAAAAAGGCCACAGCTTTATTGGTTACAGAATATGAGTGGTATTTGCTTAGGCACTGGCTCCGAACAGACTATACTTGACTCCTGCCTGCTCTTCAGAGAGTCACACAAGGGTTAACAACCTGTAGGGGGAGCTTGTTGATGCAAATCAACTGGAAACTTTCCCCTAGAGACACCGGAGGGTCCTGCCATGGCCCTAGCCACCACCTGGGCATCGGACAGGAACCACAACTACTGGATTCCTTTAATGGAATACCCTTCAAGGGGAGGTATAGGTGATGGCCACAACCTCCCCTCCAACACCCAACACATTTTCCGATGCCTAACCACCACGCGATCCAAAAAGGATCACTGTCAAATACCGTCACAGCTGCAACCAATTCCTAATGCCCTCAACGATATTGGCCAACCATACATCATCTCCACAATCGGAAAGATGAACGCCATCGTTACGAAAAAGAACCACATCGCTGAACCTGATGCCAGTGTGCTCGATCACTTGGCCACCCATTGCATGTACTTTTCGGGCCACCACACGATTCAAGAGTTTCCTGGATTTGCAAGGGACTGTTGTCAGACCATCTGCCTCAGCAAAGGAGAGCAAAAAAATTGCTGAAAAGGCAAGTGTGGTTCTTGGAGTGTAAAAATGTACATTTCTGTTCTGCATTTGTGGACTGTTCGTAGGCAGGGACATAGTCGGCTCATTGAGTTCAGCACTAACTAGCTAGACCAGCCAGTGTACAATGACTGGCACTGGTTCTCAAGGGTTTCAGACAAGAGTTTTTCCAGCCCTATCGGGAGATGCCAAGGAATGCTGCATCTGGGACCTTCTACATGGAAAGCATTTGCTCTGCCATTGAGCTATGGCATGTGGCATGCAGTGTTTTAATGATATATGATATTGATGTCAGAGAATGATATTCTGCCGTCCAGACAAGCATTTTAAAGCCCTCCCAAGGGAGAGCCACCTACTGTCTTTCTTTTAATATTTTAGACACCATGCAGAATCTGTACTATTGACTCAGGCGTTTTTGAAGAGGGTGGTTATTTGAGGACCTAGCCTGCT